ATGATTACCAGCTCGTGTCTTTCACATCCTTACTCTTACTTTTAGGGATGTCCCGATCACCTTTTTTTGCTCCCGATCCGATTCCGATCATTTGATTTTGACAATTTGCTGATACCGATTTTTCCCGATCCGATCTTTATGCAATGCATTAAGAGAAAAAAAAGAAAAAAGCATTCAAGTTGTCCCTTAAGGTTATTTTTTTATTTAAATTGGATATTCTATCCAACATGGATATAGCTTCTTTCTTTCACAGCAGCATTGGATCAGTTCAGTTGTGCAGCATTGGATCAAAACAAAATAAAGCTTTCAGTACTCGTTAGCTTACTGCTACAATTAGACACTGCGCCCACTCTGTTGCCAGATTTGAGAGGAATAAGCAGGTCTATGAAAACAAGCCCCAAAGAAGCAACACATACATGATGTTCTGTAATTTGAAACCAAAACTAAGGCCTCAGGATGACTTTAAGACTTGAACATGGTCATTTTTATTTTGTAACATTGAATACAAAATGTAAAAAAAGTATTTAAAAAAAATTAATTAAAATAAATCCCGATCCCCGATTTTTTTCTCCCGATTCCGATCTTTTGAAAATCGCGTGATCGGCTCCGATCCCCGATCACGTGATCGGATCGGGACATCTCTACTTACTTTCCCTCTTCTTGGGCACAGGGAAGGCCAGAATACTCTCATATGGAAAATATTGAATGTTTTTGTGGTGTGGCTAGAAAGGCTTTCATTATTGCTATGTTGGAAATACTTAATTGCTTCAGTTTCAAATCACATGATAACCAAATCAGTATGTGCTCGTCTTGCTTCGCTCAACTATCTAGATGTGGTTATTTTGTATTACTTTGTCGTCCTTCTCAATGTGTGTTGCCTGTACTCTTTGATGAGATGTTTTTATACAGTCTATGTATGGAAACAGTTTCCCCTCTTTTTGTTGTGGTGGTTGTTTTCTTGGAATCTATAATCAATCTTCTTTTGCAGATTTGATTTCCCAGTGGACCTTGCTTGCCTGGTTGTCTATGTTTCAGGCTCTGATTTGTTTGTTCTGTCCTTGTGCGCTAAACAGAAATTCTCCGTTGGCATCAAGGATATTTCATCTCATATTCCCCCATCTGTTTCTTGTTTACTTTATAGACGTCCGGCCGGTTGATTCACAAAGTCGGCTCCCTGACACCCCCCTCGTCGCCAAAGATGGCCCCTAAGAGCGGCCACCGACGCATATTGAGCGATGTCACTCACAGCGCCGTGTTCGGGGTCCCAGTCAGCAAGTCCACCCAGCTCCTGCAGGCGGCCGCAGCTGAGGCCAGTCTCAACAAGTCCAAGTGAGCAGAAAGAAGTCCCTTCAGTGATCTGAGGATGAACTGTCCTTTCATTGCACTGACTGAGTGAGCTGAAAGGGGGAATAGACGGTCCATTCATTTGACATGACGGAGGATAAACAACCCTTTTACTTCCTACGGCCTCCAGCTTAGGAAGAATCACTCAATTGAGTCTTTAAATAGCTCTGCTCACTCTCTAGTAGGGCTGCTCAATACATCGTATTTTAATCGCGATTAGGATTATGGCTTGCAGCGATTACGAAAACAACGTAATCGAAATAAAACGATTATTTTTTTATTATTATTATTAATAATTATTATTATTTTCTTTTTTGGGTTTTTCAGTTGAATTATACTTAAAGTTCAGGGTAATCAACTGTTAAAAACATACTGTTCACATTTTTTTTCTCCAATAAATGGATGTTTTCAAAGTCAATGAATAATCGCATCTAATAATCGCAATTACAATGATTGACCCAAATAATCGAGATTATGATTTTTGCCATAATCGAGCAGCCCTACTCTCTAGTATTTGCATACATCAGTAAGCCAGTGTCCACATCACATTTCCCTGTGCAACATGTTTACGTTTACTCCTCTGTGCACTGCAGATCAGCCAGCACGACTCCCTCCGGCTCCCCCTGCTCGTCCCAGCAGAGCGTCTATCAACCAGGTGATTCTGACGCCAAACCCACCCCAACTGCAGCCAACAATCAGCCCAGCTGGAACCCCTTTGGGGACGATAACTTCTCCAAGCTCACAGCAGAGGAGCTGCTCAACAAAGACTTTGCAAAGCTAGCCGAGAGTAAGTGCAACTCGTTCAGTGCGACTTCACACCGGTACATATTGGTGTGGTCTAAAGATAATCACTTGTTTGTTGTCTGCTTGTTCACAGCTGCTGCGCCAGGAGAGAAGGTCACGGGCTCCAATGAAAGTCTCATATCCGGGATCAATGCTTTTCCTGGTAAGTCTTTGCCTAATTCTTTCCAGGATGCCGTCTCACTCGGTCATGAAGCGGACATTAAGAGTGGAGGAACCCTTCTTTCTTCATTGTGACTTCTTTGTGTTGCTGTCCTTGCGGATGTCTACATTTGTCATGAAAGTAAAAACATTAGCATATGGCTTCTTACCCCCTAGTCCCCACCTGCTTTCTCTTTTCTGTTGTTCATGCTTTCACGTTCCCTCATTTGTTCTTCATCTTTACTCACTGTGCAATGTAAAGCTGAACGACCGTCAGACATCATGAGTGCAGGTTCAGCGGTGTTGACAGTCCCGGACTCTTTTAATCCCCTCTCCCTCTCTGACACCGCAGGTAAATCTCCTACATCACACAAACGAGTCGTGGCTTTTTGATATTCTCAGACCTTAAATAAATATATTCTTAGAGCTCATGATTAATTTTTCTTATTTACTGAAGTAGTTTCCTGGATATCACACTTCCCGGAGGTTAGTTTATGAGTGCTAGTTGTGTGGTTTGGATTTGTACCCAGTCCTATCTTGTTGACATAGCATCCAGCCTCACAGTGGCTCCTTGTCAGCACCATGAATACAGGCCGAGGCTGCAGCTCAAACGCATCTCAATTGCAAATCTGTGCTTTGGCTGTTGCTTGGTAACGCAAAGGACAAATTCACCTTTGTTAATTGGATTGCTTTACTGCTGGTGGAAGCTGCTTAACAGTGCGACAAAGACTGAGAGAAAGTTAAGCATGCTGCCTTGTTAAAGTGATGATCTAAGCTTTTTACGTTGTCCTCTGTTTATTCCTTTAGTCCTTTTGGAAGTGCATTCTTCTTCACTGTGCAACCTCCTTTTTGTATTTACTGTTTAAAGCCACAACTGAGAGGATGAAAATGTCGAGGCTATTACATAATGAGGGTGCGGTTAATCTTCTCCACCCAGACTAAGCTGGATGCACACAAACACAGTCTGACTCTTGCTAATGGAGCGGAGCGGGATTAATTAGCAGCGGTTTCCATAACTACTAGGGATGTAACGATACCTAAAACTCACGGTTCGATAATATCGCGATAACAAGTCCACGGTACGATATTTATCGCGATATTGAAGAATAAAGAAAAAATGTATTTACTTTTTTTTGTTTTTACTTGAAATAATGTTCTTTATTAAATAATAAATCAAATTTGTATAACAGCATTTTAGTAGGATTGTAGTATTTTAAAGTGAAAAAAACTCTCTTGCCTGGTACTGATGTTGCTGGGACAAAGAGATATGCTTTGGCCATGGGTGACAGCAGTGGGTCAAACTGTGCATTGTCTCTCCACCACTTCAAAAACAATACAGTTTTTGCCAAGAAGGTGAGGCTTATTGACAGGGCGAGATATAAATATACTGTTGGTACTTGTCAATGTCTCTAGGTGTGTACATGTAGCCCTGTAAATACCATGTCCTTTTGTGTTATCTGTAGTTTTCTGTTCATGTTGTAACCTACTTGCTGCCATGTTGGACAGGTCTCCCTTGAAAAAGAGATCACCAGGACCACCTGGTTAAATAAAGGTTTAATAAAAAAAAAAACGCAATAGATTTTCTCAGTCTCACGACGGTATAGAGACACTTATTTATCGCGATATTCGATATATCGTTACATCCCTAATAACTACTCTTCGGTATTAAATAATAAAGCATATTTTACAGACATTTTAATATAAATATGTTTCATATTGACTTTAATTGGAATTAGCTTTTTGGCATTACGCATTTCTAAAAGATTTTAATAAGTGTTGGCCTCTTTCCAATAGTGCAGGGGGCAAAGGGTCACATCTGCTGTGCCATTATCTGAGCCAACACATTCCTTGCCCCCCCCCCC